TTTAGTACTGAACAACCTTTTTTTTTTTTTTACAACTCAAAAAATGCAAAATGCCTTTTTTCCCCCCCTTCTGATCTTAAGGCCAGCTCAGACAACAGACATTTGTTTAGAGAACGGACTGGACTTCTGGTGAAAGGAAGGACAAATACAAAACTTCACTTTGTCAAAGTAAGCATGGAGAAAATCAAGTACAGAGCACAAGTCCATCAGGAAAATTTAAAAGGTAAGTTTGTATGATGGGAGGGGGGAGAAAGAACAAAGGAGTTTTCTGCTCATACTCAGATGATTAGTACATTTGAAGCTGAGGATAGCTTTCTTAACTTTTTTGCAATGAACATGTTTGGATTTTTTTGTTAGTGGTAGATATGTAAGAAGGAGGAAAATCCGCATAATAAACATATTGTCATTTTTCTAGTCCTGGGACTAGTCAATCACCTAGCAAATTTAAGCCCTGTGATATCCCAGTATTAGAGATCTAGATTTTGAGGCAACAGCTTGGGTTTCCATGGTCCCACCAGAGGCTGAGGCAAAGCAGCTGAAGTTACTGCAGTTAGTTATGCCTTCACTGCATTGATGCCCAAACAGACTAAATTAAGAAATCATACTTAAGATGTTTGTTCTATAAATATCTCTTTTTCCATTTAAATGCACGTGTAGCCCATTTCAAATATGTCTTGTGACAAAGTGTTTAATTGCAATATGCATGGAACAGGTCAAAAATATACCAGTCTCCTGAGAAGAACAAAGACAGGGAAATCCTCCTGAATTTTACTAAGCTCTTACGCTCTTTCTTTTGTTTTCTATGCAAGCAAGTAAGTAAAAGCATTATGTATCTTGATTTCATTTTGCATTGTAACTCTCTGCATTACTTGGATACAGAGCAGCATTGAAAAAAAAAAAAAAAAAAAAAATCTAGTAGCATTCCACACAGCTGTGCTTGCACGAGAAGGCAGAGAAGACAAAATGAACCAGAGAGGAAATCAGTACTTTAGTGCAGCTTGTTATCAATTCATTGCAGGTTTAGATTATTTCTTTTCTGAGGCCAAGCAGGCATCAGTAAGTGCTCACTGGATGCATTCAGTCTCAGCTGAGGAGACGTACTGCTTAAACCTCAGAGATTTCCCCATCCCACAGGAAGGTAAAAATCCAAAAAGCTGTAATTCTTTAAGCACTGACTACTAATTTACTTGGAACCATTTCCAAAGAGCAGCAGAAGATGGCTTCAATAAAGAAAACAGGGTTTCGAGACAAAATTACAACATTATGATTTAATGAAAACAAAGATAAAAGCTAGATTCCTTTAAGCTTGAGTGACAAGCCATGCAGATGTCTTTCCTTTCTAAAGAAACTGCTAGTGAAAGGGTCTGAACTGAATATGCTAAAAGGTGCAAGTACAAAGAGGTCAATACTTTGTGTTAAACTGCTGATTTCCTTATCAGAATGGTGATACAAAGTTTGGCATAACACCTTGAGCCCTACAAATTCTGCACAGTTGTGTTTAAGTCAGGTATATACCCAGGTTACTCTGTTAAAAGAATTCTTCTAGATAAAGTAATCCAGAGTAACAATTTAATTGCACTTGTGTTTCTTGGGCCATAGAAAATTCAAGAACTTTATCCTAGGACTGTTTTAATGAATTACAGGAACTTCCCAGTGAGAGAATGCAGACACTATAAATGAGCATCTTAGGAACAGCAGGCTTATGCAGCAATGCTATTGTCCAAGATGTGAAGCAACAATTACTGCCTGGGCCAAAAAATGTCTCATCTGTGAGAGGAACTTCAGCCTTTATATCCAAATTCTAGATCTGTGCTTGCCAAGGTCTGTTATTTAACAAAAAACTGCTTCCAACCAGAGGAAAGACCCTGAACCAAAGAAGTAGAACAGGACTGAGTCCTCTGAGCAATACTGCAAAGCTGCAGTACCTGGGCATCAGCCAGACTCATCCTTATCACAAAAGGTGTCAGCTTTTGTGATCATGCAGCTGAAGGCCCCCTAAAAAAGAGACAATGCACAGCCAAAATGGGAGAAAAGAACATAAGCTGGTATTACCAAGAGGTTCTGAGGGGACACCCTGGGCATTAACAGACCTTTTACAGGATTCTGTCCTAAGCAATAGCAAGGATTTAAGATAATGGAGCAACTTTGCTTTTTACTAAGCCTAATAGCTCCTGCAAAGAGGATGAGGGAAATTAATTAATTTAAATACATATGGCCTGCAGTGAGTGGCTGCACATTTTGATCTTACTGCCTTTGGGGTTTCAGTGCTTTTTAAGCTCCAACATGGCATGACCTTTCATGACTTTCATAGCAGACCATTCCTGTTGTCCTTCATTCTGCTCCGTATGCACCTCGATCAAACAATCCTTTCAATTTAAAGCACAGCAGGACTGTAGCTGCTACCTCAAAACACCCCTAAAGATGTCCAGGGAGATAGCAATGAAGGGGTTGAAATGGAGATGCTAAACATCTTCCACAAAGCACGCCAACCTTCCAACATACATTAGAAGAGATGAGTTGGTAAGTACTGCTCAAGTCACTTTTGCAGGAGGGGGTTTTCTGCCTCCACTGTTATTGATAGTTCACACACTGTCCTTTCAAATACTGAATTTTGCAAATGGTTCACCCCTCACCCACAACTGCACACATGGTCTGAACTTCTAAAATCTCTAAAATCTTCTAAATCTAAAACTACCTGGGCTCTTTTTCACATTGGTTCACAGAGCTTTCATGGAGTGGTAAAAAGAATTCCAGGAGTATTTAATTCCATTTTTATAACACAGATCTCTTTCCACATTACAGAACACCAAATTCTCCATTATCAGTTAAGCTTTTTAAGGATTGTGCTTTATTTACAGATAATGTTGTCTTGCCTTCATTGAAAGCTTTCCTTGAAAATTCTTCACATTTTCTTTCTGGTTGGTTTTGTTTTGAACAAACTGCTTTGCAACTACACTGAATTAACAACCCCAAAAATACCAAAGCACACAGACTTTCGAAGCAGACAAACATACATTTCATTTTCTTTACCTTCCTGTCCTTTGCTACTTCTGAAATAAAACAAGATTTGCTGGATTTCATATCAAAGTGTATCCTACAAGCTCTCAAGCAGTAAATTAAATAGTTGAGGGGGGGGGAAAAAAAATCAACCAATAAACTTGATTTGTGAACCATCAGCAGAGTAGAAGAGAAGGTGGTGTTGGACAGACCAAAAAATTGCCAGTGTTTCTCATCCATTTAGAATTTCCAACGTCAGCCAATAACCATGGGGAGAAAGGAGCACCACACACAACAAACAAGTGGTAAGTGGAACCCTGCTAAGTCCCTAGGTAACTTTTTCTCCTACCAGTCCCTACAAAGCTTTCCAGTTATGTACTTGAAAGACCAGGGAAAAGACAGGTCTGTAAGATCTGGGGATTTACAAGCCTGAGGTTGCCTCAACAGCTGATTCTCACCAACATGCCAGTTCCTAGCAGGGTCCTTAAGGAACAGGCAGGACAGTTACATTAGGCAATGTCCATGCAAATTTTGCTGCTTTGGCTCTGTCCAAGACACATCCATAGGCACAGCAAAAAGGACCACTGAGACTGTTCTAGTAAGACATATAGCTTTCTATCATTGATCCCAACTGCTTCCAGGACAAATTATGCTGTACACGGAGTAAGGACTGGACTTTAGCACAGTTTTTAAACTATTTAGAAAATTACAGGTAAGTTTGCCAACACACAAAAAAAACTAAACCAAAAAACCCCAATTCTGAATGCATATAAATGTATAAAAAAGTTATTCTAGCATCCGTGCAAAACACTATAGTGACCACTTATGCCTTTTTTTTCCTTTCTTCTGTGTCCTTCCAATATTTCCCTGAAAAAAAGGGATAGTCTTATTTCACCAAGCCTCTCTTCAGAATTCATTGCTTATGACATGAAGACTCTTCTCCAACTCTAAGTCAGGAATTATATCTATATCTGCAGTGTGAGGCATCAGGAATAAGAGAGCATTTTATTTTTCCAAATGGTTTATTAAATCTGCAACTCCTCTGAGATAACATGCTCAAAAAGAATTATCAGGAACTCATTTGTTTATGGACAAAGAGGTAAGTCTAGGGCTTTTTTTTCTCCTTTGCACATATGCACAGGCATTCTGAGAAATCCAATGCAAGTTTTCACTTCCCCAAGCAGCCACCTCACTATTCTTTCTGAATGCTTCGGTCACAAGGCTGAACATGTTTGTTTCACTGTACTGGTACAGTCTTCACAACACTGCCTCAGATATCACAGATTAAATCTAGCCTCACCATAGTGCACCTTTCTAGCACTGCAGTTCTGCTTCCTGCACTCAGGGTCTGCATGTTCCCCTCAGTCTGGTCAGATGGGCCACCTCTAATCTCTTGATTGCCTTCTCAGCCGTATTTGTTTTCTCCCACAATGCCTCCACCTCCACCACTACACTTGCTCAGTATTTACCAGGGTGGAATAGCTTCCTGTTATTTATCAAGTATTTCCACTTCATCATTATAAGAAGTGCCCCCAAAACACAGGAGCTAAGGCCACTCGGAATTCAATGAACTATTAAAATCTCTCTAGGTAACTGGCAGGCAGCTAAGCCAGTGCTCAAATCTGTTATCCAGCTTTATTGCAGAGAACAAGGTTACCAGTTACTCTTCAAGACAGAACTACTTCCCCTATCCCCCAAGTGGCTTAGAAAATAATCTGTTATCATTCTAGTGCATTTATTTTTTTCTAGTTTGCTTTGGTGGGTTGGTTTCTTCATATCTTTTTCTTGAACACATACAATATTTTATTTCCATTCACATATTTTACAAGCTTCTGGCAGATGTTCAGTGAGTTCAACCACCCTGTAACTTCACACTCATCCCAAAATAATCTCTTTTCAGGTTTTTTTCCCCACACACACTTGCACAGCACTGGTGCTACCCTGCTGCAGTCCTTTGCTGCTAAGAGCAGTAGCTTTAGACTCGGCAGTGAGGAGGGACTTACACTGGTCACTCGACGGTAGATCTGCGCAGCATTTTGGCACTCGGAATAAGGATATTCAGACGTGGCCATCTCTAGCATACACATCCCAAAAGCATACACATCAACGGACTCATCATATTTCTCCTCATACATCTCGGGGGCCATGAACTCTGGGGTACCTTAAATTAAAAGAACGATTCAGACTCTAAATGTCTCAAAGCGAGCAGAGGCTGCTGGCGTTACTCACCGCAGGGACAAGCGGCTGGGCAAACCTGTGAGACAAGAGAAAGTGGAGGCAAAAAGAAGAGGGAGGAAACCCTTAGTGACTCTGTTGCACCAATGTACTTTGTGAGTCTTCCATTGCAAGGCCTTTATGGAATAACAATGGCATGTGAGAACTGATGCAATTCCCTGTTTAGGTATGTTAGTTGATACAAATGTCAGAACAGACTGGATTAGCCTGAAATCAAACAGGAGGGGAGGGGATAAGAAGAGGGGCAAAACTGCAGACTAGCCATAGGCTGCAAACCAAATACTAAGGAGAGTTAATGCACTTACCTTTTCTCCCTGTAAGAAAAGAGGCACATTAAACCTTGTTTCATAAATTACCTGACTGCCCTCTGCTGCAAAAGAAGTAGTACTGGTAAGAGCCCATAGCTAGTCTCTGACCTGGTGCTCTCCATCTACTTGCTGAAGTAGAATGGTTCAGATAAGGCCTTGCAATGAAAAGCTCTGTTGTTACAAATAAAAATCTCCGTGAAAAGAGGATATAAAAAGTAATTTTCTGCAAAGGCCACTCACCAGAGCCCTTTTCTTCATATACTTACCTTCCCACCTGCAGTATATTTATAGGCCTACTGCAGATACAGGCATTAGTGAGGGACACCCTACAGTCAAAAATACTCAGAAATACAGAGAGATTGAGTTACAGGCATAGAGCGTGAGATTCAACAAGTCCCATTTAAATAGTGTGCAGAAAATGATTGCCCAGTGAAGCATCACAGATCCCCTCTGCAAACAAAGGGACTGCATTGTATGATCAGATTTACTTTAAGCCACAGATGCAAGTTTGCTTTTTGTAAATTTAAACACAGAATTATTTCCTGCAGATACCAGATTCCAGGCAATTTACAGATAATTCTACAGTCCATTGCTTGTTTCACCAGACTAAACCAAAGAGAATATAAATTGCAGTCATTTATCCAAAGGCTAATCATTAACAGATAACTATGTAACAGATGGTAATTTTCCAGTGATAAATTTGAAGATATGACAAATATGCTTAAGAAATTATAGCTCTTAACACCATTCTTTTATTCCCTATTAATACTTTGACCTGGTTAAGAAGCAGGAAATATTTCAGTGACAGCTTGCAAGAAAATTTGCAGGTATACACCATTGATCCCAGCTAGGAATCTGGCACAGGACTGTTGAGTAATGCTGAATTTTAGCAAGCTCTAAATACTGAGAGTGAAAGAAATTCCATTCCCCACAATCTATTGACCCAACTATAAAAACAAAGCTGATAAAACCAATTCTTTCAAGAATTCACAAGAAAGATCACACTAGTTCCACCAAATCAATTTCTGAAAAAGGTTATGAATGGATACACCGGGACAGAGCCAGAATAAAGCACTATTTCCCAATGCACCCTCCTAACTCACACAAATCCACATGCTACAGACTCCCTGAGTAAGGTGTTATACCACAGTCTGTGTTATTATTTAAATACATATCTATAATATTGTCTTTCTTTGGTACCCCTCCATTTCTGATTACTCACAAGCTGCAAGAGATTCAACATTAACCCCTGGTGACAATGAAAAAAATATTTGGCTGTATGAACTAACACTGCACTAAATATCAAAATGTTGTTTGGTCACCAAAATGCATTTGTACATTTCTTGAAGCAGCACCACATCAAAGGTAAGATTTTTAGGTAGTGAAGAGTGGTTTTATCAACAATGTTGCACTAGATTGTTGGGCAGGACAAGAACTCTATATTTTCAAATAGCTAATGTTAATATACAAATAACAAAAGCACAACCAAAATTTCAATATGTCTTTGCATTAGGAACACAGAATGCCCTCAGCAACCAAGAGACAAAGCCTACATATTTTCAGGCTTTGAACATGTACCTTTATAAGCATGTTTTTTAGGAAAGTTCCTAAAACACTGAAGTCTCCAAAGAGGTAGACTGGCTCAGCAGCCTCCAAAACAGGAGAGGCTTACCTATCACACTTTTGGCAAAAGAAGCTCGTTTCAGGGTTGCCAGACCAAGGTCTCCAATCTTGACTGATCCAGTGGGGCCAGTAATGAAGATGTTGTCACATTTTAAGTCTCTATGAATGATGGGAGGAGTACGTGTGTGTAGAAATTGTAAGCCTTTCAGTATCTGACGGCACCAGCTTCGTAGTACTTTAATTTTCATCACTTTAAATCTTTTCAAATACCTAATGAAAAAAGTAACAATAGGTTAAATAGATTCTGCTAACAAACAGTAGATTTAACTATATCATTTGCTGTTTGGAAGAAAAGAAACAGTAATTAATGACATATAAATTTAAATTTCCGTTTTAAAATCTACCTGAGCATTTCACTACTTCAGAGGAGCTAAAGATGATTCCCTTCTAAAAAACCCATCCCCTTTTTTCTAGCCAGCAGACTATAATGACAAAACAAAAATGCGAAAGCTTGGTGTACATAGCTGAAAACACCTCTGCATACAAAATCATTCCACAGTAATTAAACAGCTGGATTGCTAAATTCCAAGGCACTGCTTCAATGACAAATAATTCAAGGCTCATTAATTACAGTTCTTTACCTATTTAACTTCTCAAACACTTAAAACCTCTACCTTGATTAATTATAAGTGGGTGGGAAGGTGGGTCACTAGATCCAAAACGTTAATAACCAACAAAGTACAGAGCTGTAGAAAACTGCAAGAGCTTTGAAATCAGTCCCTTGTTTACAAGAGTAGTCAAGCACTCTGTTTCCACATTACATTTTAAATCTGTTTCAAATTTACCTGTGGAGTTAGCAACATAATTAGAAATTCTTAGAGATCCCCTCCCTGGTGCAGGACAGGGTTTGATCACCTGAATCCGACTGGTACTACTCATTACCTCAAAACTATGGACAGGTAGAGACAGGGCAGAGAAATCTTTAAAAAGGCTCTGTCAAATAACTGAGGTGGAAGAGTTTACACATAAGGCTGTATCCTTTTGCAGATAGAATACCTTAACTTCTCACATAAGAAGAGTCAAATTCCATACCAAAAATATTTTTCAATGAGCATGACCTAAGACTAAAATGTTATTCTGTCACTTAACTTCAGCAGATTAGAGATGCCACAAGGTGAATAACCTCTGACAGTTTTCAAGTGCTTTCCAGCAGGGTTTTCTCTCAACCTCTATTTGGGTAACAATTTGAAGAGCTGTCTTGTTCCTTCTGAAAAAGTACAGGCCAGACTACATGTAGAGAAAGGACCTAGCATACTCTGTAGAGCAAGGACTTCATTCTTGTTCGGGCAATGCTACTCAGTGAGAGTCTCAGATAAAGATCAGTTTCACACTACAGAAAGACTGCTAGTAAATTCTGTGACCAGCATGGAGTCTAGCCACTGCAATCTTAAAACTAAAAGCAAGTTGTGTTAAATTATTCCATGGCAGTGGTCAGTCTCTTCTGCAGATTCACTTAATTAGGAGATACAGTCCTGATGAAATCACTTCAATCAGCTCCAACACAGAAATGCAGTGTATTTATCCCTTTCAGTTTAATTTCTCCAGTTCAAAACAAGATCTGGAAAATCAAGTTGCTAGCAATGATCCTGACATGAAAATAACTCTGTAAAAGCAATTGAGTCAGTTCCAGAGGAAATCGGGTGTCAGAATGTCAAGGAAGGCAGGGAAAAAGCCAAGCCAAGGAAGGAGATAAACTGAAGGAGCTTCTGAATCACATCAGCTACCACTTGAATTCTTGCTATTGACACAACCCTCATTCATCTCTCTTGAGCCTGTTCCAAAGATCACATGGTAGGGGCACTTCAGTTCAGCATCTGGAACCCCTAATTGCATTCTTGGTTACAAATATGCTAGTCCACTGCCAGCTTTTCACTGTTGAAGGACCTGGATGCAACCATCACCCAACACTGTGCAGTGTGGCTGCCACTGTTCCATAATACTAACCTGAATTAACTCACATGTCACTTCATGCAGAAAACAATTTAAAATGGAAGCACATACAAATACACAAAAATAAACAAGCCTAATAGCCAGTACGTTTTCACTTTTCCTACTATCATAGAATAACTTGAGTTTGAAGAGACCTCAGGAGGCTCCCAGTCTAAGTTTCTGTAATTACAATTACATAGAGCTCAAGGAGCTATAGGAATCCTTATTAAACTAAAACATGAGAAAATTTCCTTTAAGATACCATCACACTTGTATTGTGTTCACTTTTTTCATCGAGTGACAAGAATGTCTATGTCCCAAGTACCAAAAGAAGAAAGTCATCACTTTTATCAAATGCAGGTAAGGTAAACATATTGAAAAAAGATATGGAAGTAACAGTCAAATATATGCAAACACAAGTGTACAGTGTAAATCCAGGAAAATGCCACAAGCACATGAAGTACTTAATTAAGGCACACCTGAAATCTCCCATACATTTCACCTGTCAAGCCTCAAGTGAAGTGGACTAGAATAAACTAAATCACAGCTATAACACCAGCTATACAAGAGTAGAGAAAAACTCTAGCCAGAACTCTACAGTTTAAAGCATGTTCAATTAAAGAGCCTATTATTTTTTTCCGGATTAAATAAAAAGACTTTCTTATTTCAAGATACAAAAAAATCCCGCAGACAGAAATACTGGGGTATCTCTTCCTACCAACACCCTACTTTATAATTGTCTATTATTACTTCATCATCTTGCTTATGACACCACATAAGCCAATCCAAATATTAAAATCTGTGAGAGGGATAAAGGAGTAAAAAAGGGAGAAAAATAAATTTAGCACTACACATTTAGCAGAAAATTAGGTAAACTTTATTTAAAGGCATCAGTACAGAGGTGCAAAACCATTAACTTATTACTTGTCTGAAAACAGCAAATTAAGTAGCAGATCTATTATTTTACCTGAAATACCTTAAGCAACCTGAGAAAGGTCTCCACTGAACATATGCCTAAACAATGTTGTCGTATGCTTAGCCATCCAGTACTATTTCTAGAGACAAACACTTCCCTGTAACTGCAGCCCAGACTCCCAGAGAGCCATTTTTCCTCTTAAGAATGTCCATTTGTAGCTCTCAATAAGCACGGTAAAAAACACAAGACATTCACAGGCTATTTCAGCCAAAGAGAAGGCAAACTGTTTCCAGCTCCTGCAGCCTCCTTACACATGTAGGGTGAGAATGCCTCTCCAAGAGTGAAATGGGCACTGAACAAAGTGAGGGATGCAGAGCCCCTTTATTGCGGAGCTGGCAGCTTTACTCCCAGCAGAGGGATGCTGGCTGGCACTCGGGACACACTCCCAGAGAGGAGCAGAGCCCCTTCATTGCAGAGCTGGCAGTTTTACTCCCAGCAGAGGGATGGTGGCTGGCACCTGGGACATGGTCCCTCTGGGGCAGAGAGCAGAGCCCCCGCAAGCCCCTCACACCACTGGAATCCCTCGCAGCAGCTGCAGCTCCAGCTGCTCCTAACTCACTCTCCTAACTCAGCCTTCAGCACACCACGAGGTGCACTCAAGCTGCCTCACAGGTCCAAGCTGCAGGATTTTTATCTGAAGCTTCAGCAAGTTTCAGATAAACCAACAGGTGGTGAATTTTTTTTCTTTTTACATGTTCTTTGTATTGTGGTAACACTCAAAACCTCCCAAAAGAGGTGAATTAATTTGAGCTTTGAACTTTACAAACTAGCTCATCCTTAATGGAAAGTAGCTGGAGAAAAAAACCAAACGAATTCTGAGAAGTGAAAACTAAGTATTGCCTCTCTGAGCTCTTAAAATCCAAAAGTCTTGTGCATGTGCTTACTGGGACATCACAAGTAAGAACTGACAAGCTTGCTAACTTAAAATACGTTCTACCACGCCCTGCAATGCTAGTAATGCTCCTCTTAAACAAGAATGCTCCTACAGTAGGTTATCCTTCAACAGAAGGGCTCTGTTCTCATCTATTCTAAATATCACCTACTTCTAGTGCTCTATTATTGTGCTAATGAAACTGAAACACTGCCTTGTCTTAATTTACTTACGTTTTTAATGTTCCAGACGTCATGAGTTCCGTCACAAGAACAATACACTTTTTTCCTTTGACTGTAGACTCCCAGGAATCATAGAACCTGACAATATTGGGATGCTGAAGCCCTTTCAGCATCCCAGCTTCCTCTTTAAATCTTTGTCGCTCTGACTTGGACAGCTTCCGATCCTAATGAAAAAGAAAAGGTGCATCAGAAAGTTTTATTTTCTTATGGAGAGGCAGCAACTTGAAAACAGTTAGGTACACACAAGAATGACATGTCTTAAATACCATTTGGTTTGCAATTACCTTTAAATATTCTGTTTTGAACATATTCTATTACAGTCTTTTTATAATATGTTGCTCTTTATAATTCTATTGCTCTCAGAGTTAAGAACTGCATGTCTGTAGATCAACTCCTCTTTCTGCTTTCTCCTGCTTTACTACTTTAATAAATTTAGCTGTTGCCTGACTTGGGGAGGAAAGGGGATATAATGTCTTGAACACTTCAGTGTCTGAGAATGAAATCAGATAATTTAAAGCATGTCCCTCTCATGTTGTACATAACAATAACTTTTCATTATTCCTAGATGTCTGTCCAGACCACTGGTTAACAGATGGGATTAGCCACCCATAGAGGGGGTTAAGCATCAAACCTCTGTTAAGATACAGTATGTTCCTGTAGTTGTAGACCATCAAGTGAATGAATTGGATTTTCTCTGATTAAATGCAGAACCTCATGATTGAGCAAGTTTCCTGAAATCTCATGTCAACAAAACCAAAAAATGTAACTCCCAGGAGAGACAGAAAGCAATATTTTGGCCAGAGGCAGAACACAAAACAGCCTTCCTGGACAATAGTGTTGTGTTGCAGCTGGCTGTCAGCTATTACCTGAATGAGAAGCACATCTCAAAGAGAAGACATCTCCTTATGCCATACAATGTTCTCAGTTTACCAAGGCACGACCAATGCACTGCTCACACCAGTCTGACTGACTGACTGGCACAAACTGAGTCCATATGCAGTTTGCATTTAAAAAACATAAAATATTTCAGGATATACTTATAGCCAAGAATTTCAGAAACATTGTTTCTAAGTTATTTAGCAATAACCAAAGACCTATTTGTCAGATCTGAGTAAAAATTTTAAGTCACTTGATTTCACATTGTCTATTCCATTAAAAGGAGGCAGTAAAACCATGCAGGATTTACTTATACTCCCATTGTGCTCCAGACTGCAATTCCTCTTCCTTTGTTTACAGGTCATGTGTTTTCTCAATATAACTCAGCCATGTAATATCTAAACCATCCTACATTCACTAAGACCATCAACGTTTTCTAAAAGGTTCACAGAGTATTTTCAGGCAAGGGCAAACTTCTTTTTCAGATGAAGCTCCAATTTTCAGAAGTATTCCATTTCCCTGGGTAAAAGTCTGAAAACAGGTTTGAAATCACCTCAGGGATCATTTTCCTATTGGTGTCTAGGATGTCACTCACCTTCACAATTCTAAGGAAAATGCGAAATCCTTATGTATAACTAATTTAATCTACAGACATCAAAAAGCATTCAATCCTACAACTACTTCACTCTGCAGAAATCAGCATTATCACCTCTTCCCATTCTTTCATAAGTGTATTTGCACAGGTTTTGATATAACATTTGAATAAACACTCCACCAACAGTTGAGCATTCGTGTCTGTTTAGGAGTTTTTATATGTAATTAGTACTCTTATTTGAGCCATCTTACCCCTCTAATAGCTTTCCTTTCAGTATAATGAACAAGGCAGCAAGTTCTGTTTCAAACCTCAATCTCAACAGCTTCAAACTGCTGAGACAGAAAAGCAGTGAGCTGCAAGAGGTACAGCAGACCATACACACATGCACCAAGGCTTCAAACAACACAATCACAATATCATCCTTCTTACAGGAAAATAAAGCAGTATTCTCAGCCTCTGCTCTAATTCACTTTTTTAAGCCATTGTACTTAGATGTAAATTCAACTATTATATATGGTCATGATACAAAAAAGGCTGCAATAATTACTTTTCTATCACTTTTAAATAGTCAATATGAAAACCTGCATTCATTTTGTCTAAACCCAAAATTTTTGATACACATTTGGATTATATGTCCTTTATTGTGTGCATACTAACAAGTTATCTACTACAAACACTGTTAACCAGTTTTAGACCTACACTTAACCTCAAGTCAAGTGTATTTAATTTCATTCTCATTTTAACCCACGTAACCCAACCTCCCTTAAGGTCTTTATTCAGTTTTCCCTGCCCCTGTACTACTACCCCCAAATAGAAACTAACAAGTGCTAATCACTCTTATCAATGAACAGTCTCCTAAGAGGCACTCACTTTTGGACTTATTTCTCTCTCTGGTCACATCCATGGCAGCATCATGTTCCTGCAAACACAGCTGTGACGTCCAGCACAGACACTCAACGCTTCAGGGCTGGCATTAAAAACCCACCAAGACCAGGCAATAGACTAAGTAAAACAACACTGCTTTGAAAGTCACAGTGCCCCAGTGATCTGGGACAAGTCTGGACAAAGCACAGGCCAAAAACTTTCACCCAGGAACACAGCTATGTTTTTGCAACCAAGGAAACCCTGCACCCTTCAGTACACAACTGCAGCAGCAAAAGGGAACATTAAACAGAGCTGGGAGAAAAAGACAGAGAGGCCACTTGTTTCCTAAGCCCAGCAGTGCATACTACCTTTTACTACCCTCATTTCCTTGGACACACAACCCACACCCTCATCTGTAACAGGTTTTTATATTCTTCTCCTAAAGGAGCACTAATGCTAGGTTACAGAAGATGCCAATATACTCTAAAAGAACCCACAACCCTAACATTCAGGAAAATACTGGGTCTCCTGTACAATTTTACCAACAAAATCTGTATACACGATGACTGGTTTTAGCTGTACAAATTACATTCTAATGCAGCTTGCAAACAGTTGGCCTGCAGGCCAACATACAATTTAAAATGACGAGTCCATTTTCAAAACCTGAGTAATCAAAAATATTAGACAGCAAGATCTCTCAGGCTGCATAGACACAGACTAGAATAGAGCCTATCCCAAATGCATGTTGGCATCCTTTGAGCAGTTAGTACGGGCAAAAGTGACAACTTCACCTCATGCTTGTTCTTGTACAAAAACGCAACTTAAGCAGCTGCAGCTACTAAAATATTGAAATAAGCAAGGAAAATAGAGCACTGTGTGTAATTTGGGAGACTGAGATGTTACCAGCCATGTTAGGTATAAATAGTTCAGGAAAAGCAGAGGAATGAGAGTATCTTGGCATCACATGGAACCCAGAAAGTAGCTGTACAGCATAGCTGTGGCAGAGACAAAGAAGCCATCGTCACTTAGTGAGAATTTAAGGGTGTTTTGCAAGACTTTGGGAAGGGAACAGTTTCCACCATCCTCAGTTATAACTGCATACTCCCAAAGACTCAAGCCCAGATGTGTCTTCCCAACAGGGCAGCTACTGCGGGCAGTACTCAGAATCCATCATGGCATCTGAGCAGAAGTCTGCAAAATTGCAGGACTCAGCTGTATCTCCACTTCTAAAGATGTAATGAAATCTGTGGCCTCTCACTGGAAATATGCCCTCCTTTTGCTTAAATTATTCTAAGTGTGAATCAGATAAGCAGATTTATCCCCTGCAGCCTTTTTCCTGTAACTCACAGTCTAAAAACATGTGCATAGATGGATCATTTCCACACGTATTTGTTGTTTTCATTTGAAAGCAGAAATATAGGTTTCACAGATTAACATTCCAGTTTCACCAAGCACTAGATCAGTTAAACAATTTTAGTGTTTTTGTTGATTTTTAATTTTTTTTAAAATCAAACAGCCAAAAACTAAAAGTAGAAAGACTCACAAGTAGTTTTTCATAAGCCTAGGAAACTTAAACAATTTTACAAAGAAGCCAGCACTTTAACAACAGTTAGTAACATACAGCTTGATATCCTATCCTTCAAAGACCAAATCATTTTGGAATTCACACTAATAAAATTTAAAAATGGACATACTCTCTCCTTTCTTGGTCTTTTCTTACCATAAGCAGCCTTAGGCAAACCACACAAAGTCCTAAATCTAGAAGTTAGCAAATCACATTCTTGTAGTAGCTCAGCTGGCACATGCTGAGCAGATATAGCCCAAATATTTTTAAAAATATACAAAGCTATCAAACTATAGGAGAGCTTGCTTCCTAAAATGGATTTAACTACCTTATAAAATGGACAGCATTGTTCTTCCTAAACTGATAGCTTCCCTGGAGGACCTAAGTGTCACATCCCAATCACTGGGCTGCCCTTGAACAAACTGAAACAGATGCATCAAGCCTACTCTGTTCATTTCATTCATTCCTTTCCACCTACATTAAATTGTTTTGACAAGCCAGGACACACAGCAAGGCGTCCCAGCACGTGATTTGTGGTTCTGCAGTGCCAGGGGCCTGAAAGGAGACGAGCAGCAAATGAAACGATTGTTCAGAGCGATTCAATAAGCTTTTTCTTGGCTGTTTCCACTTATCCCGGTCCTTCCCATCATATTTGTTTTGGTCTGGAAAGAGCTAGCAGAGGTGTTTACATTTTTCAATGTAAAACAGGGATCTTGGGCATTCATGATAAACCAGGTACATGTTTATTCTTCCACTAATTTCCTTAATGTACAGCAGCATGCATTACATGCAGCATTGTTACTACCCTCTTTCTACCCCTGTACCTACATGCCTTATATAAATAAAAAACAAACCAACCCCAAACAACTCCCTTTCCCCCCTAAGAACAACTCTTGTACCAAGCCACAATAAGCAAAGCTCATAAGCAAAAAATGCCTATAGTCCTCTGCTGATTTGTTTCAGCCAAACTTACTATCTATTCAGCATCCTTAATAAGGAAAAAAATACACTTCTAGCACCTAAATTGATTTTAAATTTCAAATGGGAGACTCACATAGTCACTGAGCCTACTGAGTAATTTCCCATGTGTTTTCCTTTCTGTCTGTCCACAGACAGAGTTCTGAGTTCTGTCCTGTTCACATCAGGACAAGAAATCACACATCTGCAGAACACATCCCAGTGCCCAGAGCAGTCCCAGGGCCCAGTCCAGACAGCAGAGGCAGCAGGGGAGCCTCCTCATCAAGGCACTGCACTCTGCTCACATT